ACAAGTTTGTGTGACAGCCACAGTTTTAACGTTATATATTTAAATAACAGATTGGAGTAGACACATGGTTATATCATTGCTATAAAACTGCCTTATGTGCAATTTAAATGTTTTTATACAACTCAGTTTTTATTTGAGTGTTTATCAATATATAATATAGCAACAAAATAAACAAATAAACTGAATAGTTTACATATAGGATTTAGTTATGAGATATCCAAATGAATCAATATTAATTAAGAATTTAAAATTATTTGTGAAGTCTGTGGCAAAACCCAGACCTAATGAATAATAGTGAAAGTGTTGCTTTCTTACCTTTGCATAGTTACCAAGACAGTAGACTTTACCACTAATTGATAATGTTTGTATGTGCAGCTGTGTATTCATACACTCTTATATCTGTTGTCCACTTATATGCTAGGCAGAAAAGATGCTGGAAATTCAAGGTATTAAAAACTATTTGTCAGTGTCAGACAACAGACAGGCTCTGAGACCTGCACTGCCTAGCAGCCAATGAGAATCCAGATAATGTTACCATAAGTGACCGACCATGGAAGCATGCTGATGAAGACCTTTGAGTACATACTTCTTATGTGAGTATTTGGACTTCCTCTTTTTAATCTCTCTCGCAAACACATGTGAATACCACTTCCTCTCACAGGTTTCTCTGTATTTTCTGTCTCTTTCACCCCCTTCCATCTTGAACGCTATTTTTCTGTGCTCAGGTCGTAATACAGAGGCCAGATTAGCTCCTGTAGGCTTTGATGCACCATAAGGTCAGCTCTGAGATCGATGTAGCAAAAGGAAAAAAAAACATGCACACAAACTCACTCTCCTGAACAATCAATGGCTCTTTATATTTATCTGAGGGGGTCCTGATAGTGTCTGAAGCATCACAGCTTTCTCCAGCACTCATCTTTGATAGGTTTTGACACATTTTCTCACTGTTCTCTGATCCCAGTCAATTAAGTAGACTCGTCTGAGCAGCATCACAGAGAGACCGGCTGTTGCTTTGACAAATGCACCATAAATTCAGCCATGCATCAATTTTCCTGGAAATAAAAATCAATTAGTCGTCATTCTACATAAATATTTCAATTGTACGGACATAACGAGATTGAGTGCACTTATGCAATTCAATTGATTTTAAATATTATGTAAAATATAGATTGGGGAACACAAGGACTTAATCATCTTTACCATTATAGGCATATCCGTCTCTTACTAGAAAAGCAGCGTTAATTCATCCTTAACTGGTATGGAAGTAACAAAAATAATAATGATGTAGATTATTAAAATGTGCCACTTTTTTATTATTAAAGTCAGGAAAGTAACCTTATAATAAATTAATGATTTAATAATAATCTATGGCTGCAACTGAAGATTGTCTTAATCAATGAATCCGTTGATTATTTCTTTGATTAATCGAATGGAAATAAATAACAATTATTAGAAATGAATGATTTTAATAAAATCAGTTAATTGTAAGCCATTTTTGAAAAAAACTTTTCAACATCTTACTTAAAGTTGTCCTTCCAATGTGTAATTTGAAAGCTATAGTGAATAAATCTGTGTACAGTAAGCTGTGCTATGCATTATGCAAAAAACTGTAAAACAAATATTCTAAACCAAAAAACAACTGTTTGCTTACCATTTACAACATTTAAAATCACTAAATTAAAAATTATAATAAACACACTTTTTTTTAAACACTAAATGTTAACTCATACAAGGAACAGAAACATTCACTCATCTAAATGTAATTAAATTACATTTATAATTCATTCTGCTCTCATAAAAATACTAATATTTGTTACATGTAGAATTTTAAACGTAGATTAAATGTCTAACATGAAATGTTTTAGACAAATGTGTATTTTAGACAGAATTATTGTACTCCATCTGTATGACTCGCATGCACAGGTTGGTGTTATTCCCTGAGGAAAATGTGTCTCAAAAGCATTAAAGAGCACTCATATCTGTTAAAGCATAATTAATGTAAAGTCACTTTTAACTACAATACATGCTTTTGTTTGAAACGCTTGATGTAAAGCATTTTTGTGTTTAGGACAACTTAGATCTGGCATTTTTCACAGAGCAGCCCCCGCTGCGTCCTCTGCTGTTTTCCAGATGGGTTTGGTCTATAGAAATGCATTATTCACTGCTGTAATGTGATGTGACTGGCAAATGTTTTCTGTGCATATAGTGTGTGAGCAGTCGATTAATAGACCTGATTAATCATTAATCAAATTTGTATGTTGATTATTTCCATTATCGATTATTAATCATTTTATCAGTTAGTTGTTGCAGCCCCAAGTTAATCATACTGTACATAATTATTGTTTTATGGGAAACATTTTTAAAAAAAAAATCTTAAAACACCTTGTGCACTTTTAGAGTAATTGCTATTGGCTAAGCAATGCAACTGTGTATGTATAATGTATGCTATATTTGAGAAAAAGATTTTAGGGTCCCTGAAGGATCTTTTTAGCTTCCAGGCGGAGGTGATATCTTTCTAGCCCTATGGGGGAGACAGAGCTTTAACACAGAAGCAAAAGCCGGTTCTGAAGGAAACTGCTCTGAGTTTAAATAGAACTCAAATGGCACTCAGAGGATTTGCAGCTGCTTACACAGATTCCTCTTAAACTCACTCTAAACAAAAACCTGTCACAAGTCGTACATGGCTCATGTAACAAATTGGATTTACTAGTTGGACATGATTATATTTATGGTGATTATTTCTGACTATATATATACATATATATATATGCTGTCAAACGATTACAATGTATGCGTGCTGTGTTTATTTATTATGTATATATAAATACACATGCATGTATATATTTCAGAGGAATAGGTTGTTTATATATTAAATATATTTATTTATAATATAAATTATATGAATATAAACATAGACATGTTAATATATGTAAATATTTTCAGTATATATGTAATATATATTCAGTATATATGTATATATACATAATACATATACACAGAACACACACACATTATTATGCAAACAAAAACTTGTTAAATGTATATAACATATAATAACATATACTATACTATATATATATATATATATATATATATATATA